AAGCAGTTGCAGGTGAGCATCGGGCTGACGGCAGGGGGTTTGGGTTTCTGATTTAATGGAGGTCTCACGGGGACTGAGCGGTGTTTTGAAGAAACAATCTTACGTGGAATTACCTCCTCTCTTTTTGTTTTTAAAAGCAATCCCTGAAATACAATCCGACAGGTAAAGAGCTGATAGTTATTCAAGTGACAGATGCAACCAGTGTGAGAAAAGACGCTAACCTCAACTTTGTCAGTGCCAGGTTTATGAGAGTTTGTGCCGTTTATGTTTTTCTCCCCAAATACAGACCGTGGTGCCTTATCAAGTCCCAACAGTTCCTTTGAGAGGAAGGAAATAGGGTTTTGACATGAATACGTTTTCTAAAATAAAACAATATGAACATGGCAGAGCAAACCTGGAAGTACAGTCCCCCAATGTGACTCATAACCATCATCATATTAAAAACTTAATTCATCTATTTAACAAAGAGACAGTGCAGACACCTTGCTGTGTTTAATGCGTGCGGGTGGGCAGGGTCTTTTAGCTGGTGCTTTAGTGCTAGACAGGATGGCAGAGTTTCTGGTGTTGGGTGGTAAAGGCACTAGTTTCTGTTTCCCAAGTGATTCCTCCACCATCTTAGACGACCCTCCACCTTTATGAGCTTTTGCTTTCACCACCTTCAGCAGTTCTATCTGCGTATCAGGAGTGCCCTGCGCCAGGCCAAAGTCCACTAGAGTGTACCTGAGGAACGAGAAAGACGGGAATCAGCATGCTTCAGTTAACTTGGATCTATTCCAGTGGTTATTAGCCTTTTTGACTCCAAGGCCCCCCTTTGTCTTAGAAAATGTTCAAAGGTCCTCCTATCCTAATTATGTAAATCTGTTTTAATAAAAAATAAAGGCAAAAATGTCAGTTTAATGTTGCGCATTTTATTATTATTGTCGTATTTAGTAGTATTGGGGCCCCTGGCCCCAATATGAATATATAAGTAAATGTAATTCATTAGAAACAAGCTGTTTAAAAGAATTAGTAATATCTTTATACCATGATGAACATATTTAATTCACAAACAAACATTGATCAACACACATACATGGAGCTCATAAAATATGATAAACAGAAGCTCAACCGTACTTGCTTGAAATGTGAGAACAAACCTCATTGGTTGTCGTGCGTCAAGCAAGTACGTTTTTGAGCTGCCTTTTACCATATTGGATGTATGTTCTTTGATCATTGTACTTTTTAAAGTGTCAAAGTCAAATTTTGGACTTCCAATGGAGGAACAAAAATCTCAGGTTTCATTAAAAAATATCTTCATTTGCGTTTCGAAGATGAACGAAAGTTTAACGGGTTTGGAACAGCATGACAGTGAGGGAATTTATTTTTTAGGAAAGCACAAATTAGCACCAAATTGGCTATAAGATATTTTAAAGCTGATTTCCCTTTTTTTTGTACATTACTCTGCTATAATCTAACGATCATTTAGCCAGTTGATCAATTGTTACAATTATCTTAAATAACCAAGAAACTGTGGCAATTACATGTGTATCAGGCAGAGATACTAGACATGAACATTAGGTACATACTCTCTCCTTTGTTGATTGAACAGGAAATTGGTTGGTTTGATGTCTCGATGGATGATGCCAAACTTGTGAATGTGTCTCAAGGCTTTGAGCAGGTGGAAGATGTAATGCTTCACATCCTCAAAACTCAAGGAGCCAACAATATCCTACAAGGAATGAAGACTTTTGGGTGATATCTTGGGTACAGGGTAAACTAGGCTGCGTTTACACTGGCACAACAAATCCGATCTTTTACTCACATCTGAATTTGTTGCCCACGTGTAAACACAAAAATCCGCATGAGATCCGATTTTTTCGCATCCGATCTGAGCCACTTCCAAATGTGGTTTTAAATCAGATACATATCCGATATCTGGACATCCGACCTACGTCTAAACACGCATATCCGATTCCGCTTTGAACTCCAAGCCACCACAAGGCGAGGATGACACGTTTATTCACAAAGATAGCTTTTTAATCTAGTATTATGAGGCTGATTTGCTCACAGCTTTTTATTGAGGTGGGAACTTTATATTTGTCTTTGTAAAGGAAAGAAATTGTGCGATCACCGAAACATTCAGGAGCTGGTTTTCAACCTCAGCCCGTGACTTTTATAAATAAAACCGCTTCACTACTGAAAGTTACATTATATTTCTCAGCAATGAGGTGATAACTTCGCTGTAATTAAACCAACAAGCTTCACTATTGGGTTACTCACTCGCGCGCGTGCTCTCTCTCTCTCAGGTTAATTCATTCGAATTCATTAAAAATATATATATTACAGGGCTACTTTATCTGAGCTGTAGATAAACGGAAATTATTTCCGGACTATATATCTGTTCCGTCAGATTTTGCGCTGCAAAACATTCATGACAGCTGTTATCTTGTCCATGCTGGCAAATAATCATGACCACCCGACATGAATTATATAAATAATTTTAATAGCACGGCCATTCAAAACCAGGGTCTACCATGTGCATAGTAAAACGATCACCGAAAACAATTTTTGGTGGGCATTAATGTAAACACAGATATCGGATACCAGTCCTGTCTAAAGTGAGTGTAAACAGTCGGGCCAAAGATTCGGATCTGGTCAAAAGATCGGATCTGTGCATTAAGACTTGCAGTGTAAATCCAGCCCTATTCATGGTGTATCATTATTTGGGTTAAAAGCACACATATGACAGACATTTACCACAAATGTTTGATGCTCCATGTATGGCATGACAATGACCACGTGATGCTCTTTCCTGAAGCAGTACGTGACTCCCATCACATTTTCTGTTCCTCTGCAAAGGGAGATAAAATAGATACAAATCTTGTCAAGTAAATCTGCAACCGAAGTTTGGTCGTTCTGAAATATCTTACATGAAACGAACGATGATAGGTCAAAATAAGACACATTTTCATTACTCACCCAGCAACAGTCAGGCACTGGAGTTCAGCAGCTATTCGCACAGGATGACTGGTGGGGATCAGGTGTTTCAATGCAAACATCCTTCTTGAACCGTCGGTCATCTGCGCCTCTGCCAAATACACTGTGCTGAAAGTGCCTGTAATCACACAATGATGCAAAAGTTAACTAAGGTTCATCAATCAGCAGAAAAAAAAAGTATGATTTATGTGCTTTTAAAGTTATTCCATCATTAAGTATAACCAGCAAGAAATTTAATGGCAAACCTTCTCCAATTTTATCTATAATACGAAAAATTCGAGACAGCTGTGGCAGAACTTCATACAGGTATGCAATGTCCGTCTCAACACCCCCTAAAACAAAAGAGAATCACATAGGTTTAAATATTTAGGTAAAATTACATAATGAAACAGAATTATCTAAAAACTTTACTAGAAAAACAAACATTCCTTGTGAAATGAAGTACATTTTGACATACTTTTAAAAAGAGTACCGTAAATATTATTTAAATAATACACTGTAAAAGAATATACTTAAGTGTGAACTGAATGTAATGTTTTTGGACACTTAATTGCCTGTTAAATGAAAATGTATTATAGTTTAAATGTAAGTTAAATGGAATTAAATGAACTTAAGAGTGCCCTTTTGACCCACTTAAGTACATCTTTATATGCAATTTCATAAATAACTTACTTCTACTGTCTTTTACAAAAAAGTTAATTGTAGGCTATTGCAAAAAATTTACTACTAAGCATTTAAACTAAAATAAACTTTAAATGTAATTTCTATTGAAACTTGTATGTCAAGTATTTATGTAATTAACGTTACATGTTTGTCATACTAACATTCATAGTGAAAAAGGCTCACTCACTGGGAATTTTGTGTCTGCTCCTGCCCTTTTCAACACTTTGATGAGAGCTTCTCTGCCCAGTCGGTACTGCCTCCATTTAATCCCACAATAACCAACAGATCCAATAATGTGGGGAAAACTGTTGGATGGCATTAGACACTATTAGCAATCCTAAACAGCTCAACTGTTATAATATTGTTTAACTTAACTGAATCCAAATGAGACCAAAACACATCAAAAAGTACCTAAAACACATTTTAACGTCAGAATTTATAATATAGTGTAAAAATATAGTTTTAAACAAACCTTTACCTGTTGTTTTTGCTCGAGTTTATGAGAAACACTGTACCAGTAGACTGTATCCGATGAACAGCTGCACGCACTGGCGTAAACACACAGCTACCGCACAAAGTTCATAAGTTATGTTAAGGGCTTATTTTGATTTTAAACAGTAAATTCATCACCGCGTCAAACACGTTTATCGCGCAGATAAAAGAAAACGCAAATGTTTTAATAAACACACAATTTTAGGTCTAGTTTAGAGATGTCTTTTCTTTCTTGGAGACGAACTCCAAGTTCCGCGCTAAAACTGAGACGCAGGTCACGTGACCACCTAGCTAATGCATAGCTTCCCTTTAGCAAAAGTAAATTATGAAATACATCCACGGCCGATATTATTTCAGTGATGGCTGACATTTTATATGGAAGTCCCCGACCCCCCAACAAACTTAACATAATACGTTAAATGCTCAATTAATAAATGATATTCACAAATTAGCATATCACATGATTAATACAATGTTAAATAAAATTTTATTTCCTCATTTAATGAATCATAAACTTTTTAAAGAAAAATAAAATGAAATACAGTTTGTGTTTATATATATTTTAAAATTTTAAGGCAACTCAACCATTCAATGAAAGCGTTTCACTTAGTATTGAATATTTTATACACTAAAATATTGAAAGACAACTCACGTTTTTTTTTTTTTTTTGCTTATGTACAACTATTAATCATTTGTATTGTAAAATAATTGGTGTGTTAGTGGATTGAAGATTTAATCGATTTTTTGTGTGTTTTTATATTGCCCGTTTTAACGAGATAGAAGGCTTTTATTTTGAAAAACCTTTATCGCGCAGACGCGTATTCTCTTCCGGTGCGAATCAGAAAATTCAGTTTACCGCTTTTTGCCATACTGCCCTGTTCACTGATCTACAATGTAGTAACCTAAAAAAGAATTAGTGTAGCTAGAGCTGGAGTAAATAAACTCTTTAAAATCGTTCACATCAGGGTTTTAATCATGGATAAATTTGTTGTTCGGTTACCAAAGGGAGACAGGGTGAAACAGGAACCAAAACAAGAGAGAAATTACAAACAAGCAACATTAGAGTCCCTGCGGGTAAGTCATTGCTCATTTTACCCTGCCCATCATTCTTCACCAGATGTGCTATATTATTGATGTCTACATTTATTTATCTACATATTTGTTCCAGAGAGTGGTCGTGATTGAAGACATTGAGAGGTACAAGTCAATCCTTGAACTGCCTGGCCAAGCTAAAGAGAACATGATAGAAGCCTTAAAGGAGTTGGACAAGAAAGTGCCCTCCAAAGAAGTGCTAAAGACTACTAAAATTGGTAAAACTTGCTTATTCCTTTCTAGTTGCATGCATCCCTGTCTTTTCAAATCAACCTCATCAAATCAAATACTAATTTCAACCCCTACCACTTTCATTTGTATCTCTTCAGGACACACAGTTAACAACCTTCGCAAACACTCAGAAGATCCTGAAATCAAGTCCCTTGCGGGGGAGGTGTATAAACACTGGAGGACCTTTATTGAGGAGCATGCAAATAAACCTTCCATAGAAGTTCGCTGTGACAAACTGACAGAAAGTTTAAGGAGCAATGCCAAGAAACTGCTCTCCGAAGCAATTGCGTTGAAGGTACTGATCCTAAATGACAATTACAATTTCTTAACCACACGGACAGTTATTATGCTTTCATTAGTTTCTTGGTTCATTTAAATTCTGGAATGGTATTATTAAATATAATCATGATACAGTTGTACTTCGCATGCATGTTGTGTGATTCTTTTCCTGCCTGTCCAGGTGGAGCATGGACTGGTGGAGAACATTGAGAGGGAGGTCTTCCACCAAAGCTCTCGCCTTGTTAGCAGAGCTTACAGAAGGACTGTGAGGGCTCTTGTCTTTGCTCTGAAACATAAGCCTGAGTTGAGAGCTCAGGTCAAGGACGGCAAATTACCAGTTAATATATTGGTCTGCAATCACAAAAAGAAACTGTAAAGAATTCAGACTTGTGACCTAAAGAAAATATTGTTTACCCATTTCATTTTTAAAAAATATCTATATTTATAATTTTTTTTAACATACTGCAGTATGATTTACTCATTGACTTGTAACCATTTTTAACTTTCAATCTTAAATACAACATTTGACTTTTTTTACATCTCATTTGCCAGAATGTTTCTTTCCATTCACAGCTACACTGCTGGTCAAAAGTTTGGAATAATTGAGATTTTTTAATATGTTTTTGAAAGAAGTCTCTTAAGCTCACAAATGCTTCGTTTATTTGATCAAAGATACAGTAAAAACAGTTATGTTGTGAAATAATATTACAACTTTAATAACGGTTTTCTATTTTAATATAGAAAGCTGAATTTTCAGCATCATTACTCCAGTCTTCAGTGTCACATGATCCTTCAGAAATCTTTCTAATATGATGATTTGCTGCTCAAGAAACATCTATTATTATTATCAATGTTTAAAACCGTTTTGCTGTGTTATATTGTTGTGGTAAAGGTGACACACTACCATTTAAAAGTTTGGGGTAATTACGATCTTTAAAAAAAAAAAATATTAAATTAATATTTTTAAATCAAGTGACAGTAGAAACATTTATAATATTTACAAAATATTTCTATTTCAAATAAATTGCTGCTATTTTAACTTTCCATTCATTAAAGAATCCTGAAAAAATTATCACTTCATAATTTCATACTTCACTTCATAATTGATTATTCATAATTAAGCACCAGTAATAATTAAGCTAATATTAATTAAAAAAAAGTATAAAAATAGAGATATATCAAGTCCTTATGTATTTATTGTGTGGCGCTCCTATAGACCTTATGTAGCCCCGCTCGTTGTGTTCTATCTTCCGGTTTGTATTTCCACAGCATGAAGGAAAGATCTTACGGATTTATGAATGAACCGCTCGTTTTATAATCTTCCCATTCTACTGACATTTGTTATGACATCTGCTTCAAACATAACAATGCTTGTGATTACTTTCGTTAATGCTACAATAAGTAAATCCACTTCACCAGCTAATTACTCTTCGACATCGACAGAGCTTCTTTAAAAAGGAATTTCAAAGACAAAAGATGGCTGTACGCTTGTTTCTCTGGCGCATAAGGTCTATAGGAGCACCAACCACACAATAGCAATTAACATGAGGATGACAGCGAGAACACAGATACTGATGAAGATGATGTCACTGGTGTCATGCGGTTCACTTTCTTCTTCGACTTTCTTGTTGTTTGATTCCTGGGCCAGGCGGGCCAGTTCATTGAGCCGGATACGTTCCTCAACTGAGATAATGGTGGCCATGGCCACCTTCCTCTGGGCGTCACACTGCACCTCGTATTCCTGAATATTCTGCTGCGGTCCATCAGAGAAGTCGATATAAAGCGAGTTGACCAGCATGGTGATGTTTTGACGTTTCTGCAGAAGATCAGATAGGATATGAGGCATCATTAATGTTGATTTGAACAAAGCCATATTTAAAAGCTGCTATAAGAGATATTGTATCAGACATTTGTTAACATCTGAATTAGACATAGGACTGTCACTGAGAAAAGTGTAGGAAACTAGGGGTGTTTTGAGTGTGGTATCCCACAAAATAATTTGCACTTTAACTAGTGTCTCTTTATCTTATATACCTGTCCAGCAGTTCCACAGTTGACAAAACGGGCTAGAATTTTGTAGGATGTTTCTGTCAGCTGGGCCGAACAGGATGGATTCCCCAGGTAAATTTTTTCACGGTCCAGCTGAGGTAAAGCCTGCCTGGAGACCTGAATCTGAAACTCAGTTCGTGTGCAGCTTACATTGACTGGCACCACTGCAACACAAAGACAACAACAAAACATCAACTATTCAGGTTGAGGTCAATGAATATATGATATGTAATGCTGTGATGGAAGAATTTGACAATTCTTTTAGTTTTTGTTTTGAGGAATAAATATTTTGGGGAACAAATGCAATTCTGTTACTAAGTAATGAGATAATCTCAGTAATAAATACATTTTAAAATTCTTAATCAACTTTTTTATGAGTCATAAACTCTATAAGCCTACATACACGCTATGTAACTTTTTGGAAAAACAAAAACAAATTTTAATTAATGAGATAATGATTTTTAAACCCATCTTCCAAACCATGTACCCAAATAATACAGTTTTGATAGACCTATAATAATTGATATTGTATAACTGTCGGGGCGGATTTGGCAGGAAATTGCGTACATTCTCTCTGTGTAGCCTAACGTCATATAGCCTAATCAAAAATTAAAATGTATCATTTTAGGGCTTCAGGTCATTTTGACCCGCGACGGGAGGACTTACAGGTAAGAGAGGATGGGTAAAGTTTGTAAAGATGGATAATAATTTAAAACGGTTGCAAAAAACAAACTAACAAACAAACAAACAAAAACGTTATTTATATGTCCATCCGGCTCTCTTAAGATGTCATATATCTGTGTACACCGGTGACTCGAGCCACATTCATCCGCACGAGGGAGCAGAGCTGAAGCGCAACTAAAACAATTATGCAGTATTAACCACTTGAGGGCCAAATACAAAGTGTAGCTCAAATAACAACAACAAATATGAGGTAACTCCGTCATTATTATTGATTGATGGTTTCATGAAGAACCTTTCACATCCATAAAACCTTTCCATTCCAAAAAAGGTTCTTTAAAGTAGAGAAAGGCTCTTCATATTTTTAAAATGTTCTACACAATAAGAAAAAATAGTTCTTTTAAAAACTGTACACTGAAAGGTTCTTTGGGGAACTATGGCATTGCTGTGAAAACCCCCTTTTGGAACCTTTACTTTCAAGAGTGAACCACTGAAAATATGCATAATGTGTATGTCATATGAACAACCAGTCAGTAGGCTATAACTAAAATACTTGTGTCTATTTGTGTTGAATTCTACTGTGCTGTATGTTTTTGATTCACTAAATAATCGTAAAGGAACATCATCTGGTTCCCAAAACTACTTTTAGAAGGATGAATTCAGACTGTGATAAGTGAGCACTCACCTCCTATGTAGGAGGCTGTGAATCCCTTAAAGGCATAGTTACGGTCAGTGTTGAGAACAACCAATAGTTTATTTCCCTTAGAGGTCAACGATGGAGGCTGTTCACTACCACACCACTGGCCCAACAGAGTGTCAGTCTCGCTGTCCCCATCGTACACAGCCACAGAGTCATAGTTGCACATCTCGGTCAGGCTGTTCCGATCCTCAAGCTCCAGAAAGGGAAAAAATAGCTTGACCCTGTAGCCGGCCGCTAGAGTGATTGTCCAGTGGCAGTTGATGTTATTGGGGTAGATGTTTGGGAAGTGAGGGCTAGTAAAGTTCCCACTGATATTTTTGAGTATTTGCTGGCACTCTCCTTTAAAAAACAGCAAGATCAAGGATTATATACTTGAAATGTTATGCATCTTGTATGACAACAAGTGTCTCACCTGAGTAGTAGTAGGCTTTAAAACCTCTCCCTCCGATGTTGAAGTCAGATTTGAAGACCACCAGCAGTTGGTTTGATGTGGTGACGGTGTTGGGAGGTCTCTCATTACCGCAGTAATTGCCCAGGTGATGGTGTTTAACAGTGGGGCCATCAAAGAGAGCCACATAGTCAAAGTTGCACCCCTCGTTGTTTTCCAACTGAAAGTCGAGAAACACCAGGCTGACTACACTCTGATTGGACACATGTACTGTCCAGGAGCAGTCGGCATTGTTGCTGTAGTCTTGTGGATGACCTGGGCTTGAGATGACTCCTGAAAGACCGGTCAAAACCCCACCGCACATATCTGTTTTAGAGAGAGAAACAAATGAACTGATGTATAAATTAATTTATACAATTACACACAGTGTGTGTGTGAAAGTGAAAGAGTTTAGTGGATGCATTTTAGGTTATTTGTGACAACCAAAGACCATCGAACCAGATAATAGCTACAATTGCATTATAAAAATTGATCAAGTGTTTATGCATGTAAAATTAATATATTTTAATGTGACTGTTTATATATTTGTGACTGTTTTTGAGTTATAAGTTCAAAGGAATTTAATTAAATCCATTGATTTCAATGGAGTTAAAACTGGTAATAATATGATAAATACATTCTTATAAATGTTTTATTAAAAAATATTCTAAAACAAGTTCTCATAAATTTTGATAAAAAATATCGATTTTTCATGTATCACAGTAGTTTAGCTGTAGTTAATTTAAATTACATTTTACAATTTTAATTAATCAAAAAGTGGCAAGTTTGTCATAACATGGTAATATGCAAAACTTTGAATTGTTTGCATATTCACTCATTAATGAGAAGATATCAGATACAATGTTTTTTGATGGAAAATATTATAGGGTTCACACAAAAATTTTAAAAATAACAATTTCTTCATCTTCGAAACACAAATGAAGATATTTTAAATTAAATCTGAGAGATTTCTGTCCCATTGCCATCCGCAACTACCCCTTTGTCGCTTCAAAAAGTTCATAAAGAGATCGTAAAACGAATCCATTTGAATTGAGTGGTTTAGTCCAAATTTTCTGAAGAGACTTGATCACTTTATATGAGGAACAGATTGAATTTAGGCCTTTTTTCACATATAAATATACATATAAGTTCACATATACGAAAGTCTTACAGGTTTGGAATGAGGGTGAGTAAATGATGAAAGAATTTTAGTTTTTGGGTGAGCTAAACCTTTAAGTTATGACTATTTTTATGCATTATAAGTATTAAATGGTCATGACAGGAGTTGAATGATGGGATATAACAAGGTTAGTAAGCAATTTAATCACACTAGACATATGTTATCAAATATAATGTTGAAGTTTTGTGGCAATACTTCCAAAACAATGTGTATTCTAACTTACAAATCTGTGCAACGTCATAGACTTCCATTCTAAATGGATTACAGTAAACGCACTATTTTTACAAACCGAGGAGCAAATCATAACTATTGTCTGTTGTAATAAACTGCATATTGACTGATATTAAAGCAATGTTCAGTTGCACTCCTCACCTTTCCTATAGCCCACCGAGAAACCCTTGCGTGCGACATGGCGGTCTGAATGGAAGATAATGGACATGACGTTCCAGGACGAGCTGAACTGAGGTGGAGACACATCTCCACAGAATTTCCCCAGGAGGTT